GATTATTTTATACACCTTTGTATAAAATGACCATTTCTATTAGAAATTGTGCTGGAGGATCTAGACAGTGTAAGGAGGGAAGAAACGGAAGGTATGCTGCAACAACTGGAAAGGAAAGAATAAGGTCAGTGTAACACAGAGATGCTATGTTGTCCAAATAAAAACTCTGTTGAAGAAACTCGTGGGTAAATAAGGAGTTGTTTTGTCATTAAAGGGAGAGCTGGCGAGGTGGCTCAGCAGGAAAGGACACTGCCAAATGAGCCACAGAGTCTGATTTCTAAAACTCACATAATGGAAAGAGAAAACTGACTCCTGCAAATTGTCCCCTGGCCTCTACATGCATACTGCAGCATGCATGCCATCATACACAAACACACATGTGTACATGTGTCCAAGCTAAATAATTAAAAATGCAATTTAAAATAAGAGTTTCACAGGTTTGTCTTAGATATAAAAATAAGCTCTAACTTCAGGACAAAATACTGAGTATATTGTACTTTATCATTAAAAGTTTTGAATTAAATACTAGTCACACTTAAATCCTCTTGCTCTGTTTTAACATTGGGTCTGACTATGTAGCCCAGGCTGGTCTGCGACTTGCTATGTAGCTTAGGTTGGACTTAAACTCCAGATCTTTGACTTCAGCCTCCTCAGTGCGGAGACTGCATGCACATGTCACCATGCCTAGTCGGTGGAACCTATGACTGCGTCCGCATGGATGTATTCACAGGTATACAGAGCTGTAGTCAGACTGTTGTATTCAGAGACGTTCTGGAACAGACACAGAAATTGATCTCTTGTATGTCTTTTGCCTGAGATCCAGTGCAGAAATATTTACAGAGACATTTTAATGCTATAACTAAAATTCTTGATCTTTTTCTTCTGTCGTTTGTTTTTCCTTTCAAAAGCAAAGTAACTTTAAAAGGCTAACATTTGATTAAATATAAACTAGAAATAATGTCTTTTGCTTGAAGGATGTCTACGCTATCCTGATAGTGAGACTTGATTAGATTTCGGAGACAGAGATTTTAGGAATAAAAACCTATGAGGATCATTTACAAGATAAGGCTTTATATATCTGACTCATCTAAAAAAATAATGTCAATGGTTACATAATGCAAGGAAGAGCCTCCTAGATAAGAAGGGAAATTACTTGAATTCCCATGCACAGCGTATGGCCAGAAAAACTGCAATGTGTGTAGAATGAGAAAAGCAAGGATAATCCTTTCTGAGATCCTTTATGGTCTTGAAATGTGTCCATATTATTTACATCCACATCAAACAGGAAATCCTCATCACACCTCCCTCCCAACTTCATGTCCTCCTTTTATAATTTGTGTGTATTTTTAGCCCAGTGAGTCTGCTTGGTGCTGCTTATATGCACAGTCGTGGGGCCACCCACTGGTGTAGGGGGAGCTTCAAGCTCCAGCTGCCATCAGTCCAATAGTTCCTCAGGTAGGGTGGGACCCCCATGAGCCATTCCCACTCCATGCTGTCTTGATCTTACGCAGGTCCTCATGTAGGCTCCCACAGCTGCTTTGAGTTCACTTATCAGTGAACAGCCATGTCATGTCCAGAGGACAGCATTTTCAGAACATTTCCCCATCCTTAGGATCTTACATTCTTTCTGCCCTTCTTTCCACAGTATTCTCTGAGTATGTGGGGGGACTGGGAACTGATAATGTCGCGTTTATGGATGAGCATGCAGTTGCTTACACTCAGCACTTTAAACAGTACTGCATCTCTGCATTAATCACTGCCCATTGCAGCTGGTGACCAAGGTTCCTCCGGTAGTCTTGCCATTGTTAGATCTTGCCTGGCAGATCGTCATTGTAGCTTGCAGAGCCCAGCACAGGAAAGAAACGTTGATGAAGCAGGGTCCCTCTTCTCTAACCAGTCTGGGTGAGCTTCTGGGGGAAGTCCCCTGTCTCTCCCATTTTACCATAAGAATGCTGGGATTACAGACACATACCACTGTGGCTGGGTCCAGCTTTTATGTGGATTCTGGAATCTGACTCAAATCAACAGTCAGCAAGTGCTTTTGCCTGCTGAGCCATTTCATGGGCCCCTTAAATAACACTCCTGATGGAGGAAGGCAGAGAATGAATTGTTGGCTAATTGCCAGATGAAGAGAATGGAGCTTGTCCATAATTTTGATTGCCTAGGACACTTTTTATAAAAGTATGTTTACATCCTTATAAATAAGCCTGCTGTTTTACTTCCTGTGTTCCTATAATTTAATATGCATTGGAAACCATGTCTTCTGAAAATGATGATTTTAAAGTATACAAAGAGAACAGAAGCTCCATTAGAGAAGAGACAAAAACATTTCCAGATTTACCTTTTTATCAGACTAACAATGATTAGCAATTAGTTATAGGTGTCTTCTAATGATCAGTAATTACAACCTCTACTTTTAGGAATAATAGTAATCTGAGAGAAATATGAACCAATTACTAATTATGATCAAGATACAGATCTTCATGGGAGCAGCAATGTTGCAGACACTGGGTTTGTTGACTGGTGACATTCCCTCATAGGAGGGGCTGGAGAGGGTCACTCTCATCTGAGGGTCCAGCCACTCCTAATCAGATTTCTGCAATTCTGCCCTAACAGCACTTGGCCTCAGGGTCTCTGGGAAGGGCTAGAGTACAGAGGCTGGGAAGACTAGGGAAAAGGGCTCCATCTATGCAATCATAGGGAAGTCATCATCCATGTTTAGTGCAGAGTTTCCAGCTTTGAAGTCATTCATGTTCCTGCCTGTAACCCCATCCATTGTTGTCAGTAAGCCTAATAAACTCAGTTTTCCCAGGGTGAACTTGAAGGAGCCAAATGGGTCTGTCGTTGAAACTGTAGGACAGGAGGCCCTGCTTAGCGCTCCCCACAGGGACACAATCCCCCAAATACATGGACAATAGATCTTTGTGTTTATCAAAATGCAATCCCACTGGATTCTAGTGCTAGAAATCACTAAATATTGCTAAGAAGACCTGAATAAACACACAGATGTGTGGACTGAAAGACTGCTAAAATGCAAATTCTTTCCAAGTTAGTCTAGATTTAATGTAATTCCAATCAGAATGTCACCTTGGTTTTTGTTCAGAAACTGACCGGTCCAGTTTGTGTGAAGAGGCAGAGCACCTAACAGTAAAATTCGTTTTGAACAGTACTGCGCATGTGGCGATTATCTGTGTGCTCCTTGCCGCTGTGCCGCTGGATCCAAAGAGCAAGTCTTTCCTGCTCTACAGCAGATTAGTTCTCCTGCAGAAGCCAATTGTAAGATTTTGTTGTCTTCTTAACTCTTTTCATCCACTACAGCATTACTTATTTTTCATCAGGTTGACACAAGGATAATCCTAACACACTAAAATTGGCGCTGCAGAGCAGGGGCTCACCATGTTGTTGTGGCTGGTCTGCTGTACGCTCTGCTGTCAAGGCTGGCTTAGAACCCTAAAATCCTCCTGCCTCATCATCCTGAACATTAGGATTATAGGTCTGTGCCAGCAGGTAAAGCTTAGAATTCACCATTTTAAATAAAAGTGTACTTTTCCGAGTTGTGCCGTCGATTTTCTTTCGCAGCTCCTGTGAGCCACTGATTTGACGTCAGTTTCTAACGTTTTCTCTTATCTGATGCTACATGGTGGAGTGTGCTGTCTACAGTCTTTTCAACTAGCTTTTTTCACTTCTTAAGATTCAGCCATGTTTTTCCAAGTATCCCGAGTCTATTTGTGGTGGCTTTATGTGTTAACTTGCCTAGGACTAATTTCCTTTTCCAGAATTCCCCTAGGAGTGACACAGCAGTTCTTTTGTTCTTTCTGCCAGGACTTTTCTAATTCACGTGGTGTGCGGACTCATTCATCTCCATGATGTGAGGCAGCAGCACCTTTCTTTGCTTCAGCATCTATGATTCCTGAAGATGTGTTATCAACACACTTCCAAAGGCAAGTGACAAAAGGCCAGGGCACTGCCACAGGACATGACAGCATGTGGCTGCAGGCATCTTCATGGGTGCCAGCGTGTCTTTGCTCTCTTTGTGTCTGCCTTTCCTTCTGAGCTGCTACCTCAGGGTCTTCAACACAGGACACAAAGACAACAGAACCTGGCCAGCAATTTAACGAGTGCAATGTCAGACCCAGATAGGCAAATATGTGTGCGTGCACACACGACCGACATGCTTGTAACTCTGCCTGAACGTGGACACATTCTTTTAATCCTAGATTTATACTATGTAAACATACAATTTAGTTACCCATTCACTAGTTGAGAGGCTTTTAGAGACAATGAAGAAAGTTCTCTTGAATGGTCACATGCAGATCTTTGTGATGTGGATATATTAATTTAAAATATGCTATACTAGGAAAGGGCTAAGAAGCGAACAGTTAAGTGTAATAGCTATGGAAGTGGGAAGTGTTGCTAAGTGTCTGATACTGGTATTTTGCATTTTAGACCTTTGTGGCCATAAGTTTAAAAAGTACTAAATTTTATAGATGTATATGAATTATATCTCAATTAAAATTTTTCTTATGTGTATGTATGAGTGTGGATGCTGTGTGACACAGACGCATGTGGATGTAAGGAGACAACTTGTGGGGGCCTCTCCTCTACGTGGGTGGAGGGGGTTGAGCTCGGGTCATCAGGTAAGCATCTTTCCCCACTGAGCTGTCTTGCTATCCTTGTATCGCAAACTTAAAAAGCAGATGAAAGGTTAGAGAGATGGCTCATTGGTTAAGAGCACTGGCCATTCTTCCAAAGGACCTAAGTTCAGTTCCCAGCAGCCACACAGCAATTCACAAATGTCTGTTACTCTAGTTACAAGGGATCCAACACCTTCTTCTGGTTTCTGTAAATACCAAGCACATGCATGGTAAACAAATATACACACACAGGCAAAATATTCACATATTTAAAATAAAGTAACTAAAAAATAAAAAGCAAGCAATAATAAGTAAAATGCTAATGCTCTATCAATTTATAATCTAATGTCAAATTTTATTCACCTTTTTTCTTACAATATGCTGTCATTCAAAATATACCTCATCAGTAATTCATGCACACAGTAGGCACTCTATAAATTTTTTTAATAATTAGGTATTTTTTAGAATGACTAAAAATCCTGATATAAAATCCCAATAGGGAAGTGCATAATTCCATTGTAGACAAAATATATAATTTTACAATAAACATTTTTATAAGAATTTGCCCCAAAGAGGGAACACTTAAACCTGAACATTAAAAACATGTAAAGCAACATGAAACCGAACACTAGATTACTCAGACGCCCCCTGGGTAGGCCAAGGACTGCATGCACCCTGTGCACCCTCAACACCAGCTGCCACTCAGCTAAGAAAACAAAGGCGCATTCCTCACTGGCCATGCTGCAGGAGTGTCTGTGCAACAGCTGGGGAGACCTTCAGCCACACCCTCATATGAACACCGAAAGAGGTCAGATACACTTTTTATTTTCAAATTGAAAAAACAATACTTTACAGCTCAAGCAGCAAGCATGAAGTCACTTTTCTAAAAGCTGTGTTAAATCTGTGGTCAACACTTCAGAAGAGAGCTCAAGAACCTTCATCTGAACTTGAAGCAGCTTTTTTCAAGGCCCAGATGCTCTCCAGTCCTACCCATTGTGACCACACATGAAGACAAGCAGCTTATACTTTGCAACTTACTCAAGCCTGAAAAGTTTGAAGGAAAAGTTAAAACTAACCAAATGCCTAGAGAAGTAACTTTGCAAATGCATAAATATGAACAAATATTCTATGGCTAAAAGATGTCTACTCTTTTTTTTTCAAAAATCACAGAATTCTATAAATATTTAAATATATGAACTATCTCAATACAGAGAACTATGTATAAAATGTTAAGTCAAGAAACAAAATTAAAAATATAAAATTATTGTAACCATGTAAAAGTAAAATACAACAAAACAATAAAAAGAAGGTGAATTTAGATTGATTGAACTAAATAAATTAATTTTGTTTGTTTTTTGAGACAGGATTTTTCTGTATAGCCCCAGTTGTCCTGGAACTCACTCTGTAGACCAAGCTGGCCTTGAACTCCAAGATCTGCCTGCTTCTGCCTTCTGAGTGCTGGGATTAAAGGTGTGTGCCACCATGCCTGACTTAAATTCAGATATTCATTAGAGACTTTTCTTTGTTGCTTAACATTATAGCGAAAGAAAAAATGTGGTATTTTAGACAAAACTATACTCTTAATAAATACTGAACTCTGTGTGAACTCCTAAAGCAGGAGATTTTAAACATTGTGAACTCTACATTTCAAGTGTCTCTTAAGGTAGCTGCATTTGCTGATATTCATTTTATAAAAGGGAGTGGGCAATGTGTACACTGATAGCTGCCCCTCAAACATTACAAATTTTAAGCACTGACAAACTAAGAAAATCCAAGAGCATGCTAACAAAACCATTTACTTATTGTGTTTTGCTTCTACAAAAAGCCATAGGCAGGTTTTAAAAAACTAACTCTATATACATATTTTACATGACATATATTTATGCTATAAATATTTAAAGAATGGCTTTTGTGTAATTGTTTAGGTCCATATATATCTTATTAGTTTAGTTGTAAGGTATGCAAATACAGTCTTTCAGATTTGTTATTAGAAAATGATTAATTTCTTGGATAAAACATAGCATATTTAGAAGTCCGAAAGCCAAGCAAATCCCTTATTTCATTTCGGAATTTTGACAGATCTTGGCGCAGTTCATTGAGATTCTCCACAGTGGCCTGGTCTGTGCTCTGCATCTTCTGTCGCATAGATGTCAGGTAACGATGCACTAGGCAGCACATCACTTTCTGGTAGTTCTCGTCTCTCTTTTGCTTCAAGTTTCTCCACTCCTTCAAAACAAGTAATCACATGGTACAATGACTGCATAACAAAGTATGTGTAAGTACATTCATTTATATGTAAGAAAATATGTATACACATTCATATATACATATGTATTTGCACAACTGAGGAGTGAGTTCAGGGCTACACACATGCTAGGCAAATGTCTACAACCAAACCATTCTCCAGCCCCACAGACAATATTTAAATGAGGTAAACTTTAAATATATTCACAGATACACATTTTCAACACATTTAGAGGACCATTTACTTTGGTAAAAATCATAATCAGTACACGTTTAAAACAATATAGCCTACGTACTGGCCCCATTCACTCTCCTTTAGCCCAAATTTAGTCTCAGTAATGCTCAGTCTACAACAGATTCACAAACTACCACTTAAGTCAACAGCCCACTTCCTGTCTTTCTTTCCTTGTGAGTCAAGAATGGTTTAAAGATGAATTCTGCAATCAATTTTATAATGAACAACTCAATTTTTAACTTGAATTAAGCAAAGTTTTAGCCCTACCACAGAGAAATCTGTTTTCCCTGGTAACTTCTTACAGTGACTGTTACTTAGCTGTTATATTTTTATTTCATCTTTAAGTTTTTTGGAAAAAATTTCTCTTCCATAACTTCTTAGATGGTGTTTTTGTTTTGCTTGATTTACAAAGTGTAAAATATTTACTCTCTGGTCCTTTAGGAAACTTACCAATCCTTGGTTTACAAGCAGCATGTACTAGATAAGAAATACACCGAGTAACTTTCAAGACCTAAAAATGGTATGAACTAATAGTTATTCTTTAAATCTACAGTGAAATACTATGGGATAAGAGTACATATGTTAGGGAAATTTGAAAACTAAGAAAAGAACCAAACCAATCCAAAATTCCTTAGTTTTATTTCTTATTCTCAATTATTTATTGAATCTTTATATTAGATACAGCATCCATTAGGGATACAGTGGAAAATACGTGAGGATGACCCTTATCAAACTTTCATATTTGTGTTTTAGTTGTTTTTTAACAAAAATATCAATTGTTTGATTTTACCAAAGAAAGAAGACTCGGGAGCCAGATGCTGAGGTGGAAAACCCGCTAGCTCAGAGAGGCAGAGAAAGTACTCAAACAACCTTCCTTCCTTCTTAGCTGACAGCCCAGAGGCTTCCCAACTTCTCCTCCTCTGTCTCAAACAAGATTTCTCAAACTGGATGTTCCTCCCTTCTACTTCCTGTGCGTCTCCCTATCTATCCTCCTGACTCCCTCTTACTCTCTATAGTCTTTTCTTAATAATCCTATCTTCACTTTCTGTCAACTGGCTACTTGCTCAGCCTCCTGATCTATAGTTAAATATTAAATCCTGTTTAAAATATTTAAACAGAATGCTCTTGGATTAAAGGTTTGTGCCAGGTCTGAGCCATACCACAGTTAGAAACAGGTTTTTCCAGTAAATAAGGCAATCTCTCGGGGTCACAGTGTGATGAAGTATCCTGTAACAAACACCTGAACTGGGCATGGTGGCACATACCCATCATCCCAGCCTATGGTGGGCAGACAGGAGGATTGCTGCAAATCTGAAGCCAGCCTGGTTTACATAGTAAGTTCCAATGTCAGCCATGGCTATATAGTCAGTAAGACTACATCTCAAAAAAATAAAACAAAGAAAAAATAAAAGTGAAATTAGCAATTGTAAAACTATGGTGCAATTCAAGCTTCTAATTTCTCACCTTTAAACTGTTTTGCCGCTTGACCTTGCCTTTCGATGTGTGAGAGCAAACCCACTTACTGAGGCTACTGATCATATAGCAGATAGTCTTTGGTGAAGGAATAATGTTGAAAGGTGGGGGCAGTGTACATTTGTCATCAAAGTAGCTAAGCCATAGCTTTGCTCGAGCAAACTTCCATTCTTTATCCTCATGATTCTATGAGGCAAAGAAAAAGCAGGATAAAAAAAAAGAACACAAACACAAATTTGAGCGCATATGGACAGGTTGGAGAAAATATTGATTAAAACTGTCTAAATGTCACCACACCTTACAGATTAAAAATTGGCCAAAGATGTGCAATTTTAAAATCTATATTTAATTCCATAATTCTATAATCTTCAGTGATTTGATTTCATGCATTTCATGTGATTTGGAGAGAGCACTTACTGCTATCAACTGAAAGCTCTTATGAAGCATGGCTACCAGCAGCTTCGTAAGCACGATCACAACCACAACATTGTAAGTTCCAACAATCACAGCTCCAACGAAAGACTGCAGTTCTTCTCCATAGCTAAACCTTGTGACAAAGATGGCCACGTGTGCTAAGGAGAAAATGTACCAGAACAAAGCAAAGCAGGTGCCAATGAACCTGTAAGGGCAAGTATAGTCTGTTTAAAAAGGAATTAATTAGCAAGAACAGATAATGCATTTATATCAAAATTATACATATGAACCATTAATAATTTTGTATAATGCATTATAAAATAATTTTGTTGTGTTATTTTTACTTCCACAGTACATATAGTCATTTTTAAATGTTATTTCTGTTTTATGTGTGTGTGCCTGAGTGCATATATGTGCATCACATGTATGCATGATGTCACAGAGGGCAGAAGAGGCACCAGATCCCCTGGAACTGAAGTTATAGTTGTGAACCATCAGGTAGAAACCCAGGTCCTCTGCAACAATAGTAAGTGCTCTTAACCACTAAGTCATCTTTCCAGCCTCTAAAGTCTTATTTTAAATGAGAAAACACACTCAAAAATATTATTCTTATTTTATTTATTTATTTATTTATTTATTTATTTATTTATGCTGTCTTTCTAGTCTCAACACAGCAGTTCATAGGTTATCTAGTTAGATCCAGTCCTTTGCTTCAACCTTCAGATGACTGTATCGCAATAGCCCCAAATCAGACAGCAAGGTCCTATATGATCATCCCTATTACCTGTTTATCCTGGTTAGCCCAGAAATTTTATTCTTCAAATGGGAAGACATACAAAGTACCTAAAGAACTGTGGCACCCAATATGAACACAACAGATATGCAGTACATACTCATCCGTATTCTATTGAAGGCTGAGGAGAATAAGACTGGGGATGCAGCTCTCTGGTGGTTAGCACTTGCTAGCACATACAGAACCCTGGCTTGGATCCCCAGCACTGGAAAAGGAGCCTGAGGGGAAGTATTCTGTTTACTTTATAGTGGCTGTACCATTCTTTATGATCAAGTGGGGGACTGGCCCTTAAGGTCTAAGGATTCTGAATTCTAGTGACCTCTCATGAAGTGTTGAAAACATGAATGCTCTGGGCTGTAATAGCAACCAATAGCTTCTACAGGTATTTAATAGTTTGGGGGCAGAAATGCTGAGCATTCTAATATATGGGATGAATAAAAGAAACTTCCCAAAGTGCTAAGAATATAAATTTGTCAAGAGTTCTGTTCAGACAAACTTCAGTAGAGAAGACACATGCAATGACTTGGATTTACTATTGAAGGTCCTATAGGTAAAGATGATGAAAAATGAGCATTTGTTAAAGCTTACAGACATTTAAAAAGGACTTTTTAAAAGATCAGTTTAAGTAGCAGGGCTTTGGTGTCACACACCTTTAATCCCAGCACTCAGGAGGCAGAAGCAGGCAGATCTCTGTGAGTTCAAGTATAGTCTGGTCTACAAAAGCTAGTTCCAAGATAGGCTCTAAAGCTACAGAGAAACCCTGTCTCAGAAGAAAGGGGGGAAAAAGATAAATTTAAGCTCTATTCATGCAATGACTAACCCATACAGAACTCAGCAGCAGAAAGTCCATCTAGTAAGATCTGAAGCTACTCACGAGTGAAAGGTGTCGTTGCTTTGTTGTTCACAGAAGATGCCGACACAGTCCTTCTGCTCTTTGGGAGTGTACCCCTTGTCATACAGTTGTGTCAGTCCAATTGTGAAGGAAAATAGAACAAGAAGGAACATCCCCAGAAATTTCCCAAAATCTTGTAACATCTGTCCCATCGAAATCTGTAGACATATCACAAGGTGTACATTAAAACTGTTGGGACAACTATTTATTTAATATAAAATTACCCAGGATCAAAAGGAAGACTAACACACGAGCCACAAGTCATATCCATTATTTCACCTGTCTGAAATATTTCAGTATGTTAAGAACATCAAAACTCCAGCTGTAGGAAAACAAAATGAAGCAAAACCAACAAACCCAGCTTTATTCAAGGCAAATTTTATTTTCTTTAATACTCCTCCAGTGTCTGAAGATTAGGTAGTTTTAACAAATCTTGATTTTTTAAAAAAAAATTGGAATATTTGTGGGTTTGTGTGTGTGTGTGAGTGTGTGTTGTGTGTTTTGATTGTTTGGTTTTTGAGACAGGGTTTCTCTGGGAAGCACTGGCTGTCCTGGACCTTGTTCTGTAGACCAAACTGGCCTCAAAATATGTGAGAAAGAGAAGAAATGTGTTTTCCTTTTTAATGTACTAGAAGTAATTCTAGTAGGTCACTTAGGAAAACAAAGCCATTCATTCAGACTGTGAATATTCATAATATAATCATACCTAAGTGTAGTGATATTTTGTATGTGTTTTAACAAATAAAGCTAGCCTGAAGATTAGAATACAAAGCTAAGCCACTTGCGGCCAGGCAGTGGTGACACACACCTTTAATCTCAGGACTCAGGGGACAGATGGATCTCTGTTAGTTTAAGGCCACCCTGGGCTACACAAGATTGAATCTGTCTAAAAGAGAAACAGATCACACAAAAGTGATCCCAGCACTCGGAATCCCAGACTTTAATCCCAGCACTAGGGAGGTGGAGACAGGAGTGATATGGCTGGGCGGAGAGAGGAATATAAGGCAGGGTGTGTGTGTGTGGGGGGAGAGACAGGAGAGTAGTGCAGCCTGAGGAGCAGTCAGTCTGAGGACAGGATCAGCCCTGTGGTCTGAGCACTGGTAGAGGTAAGAATTCTCAAGTGGGCTGGTCACTCTGCTTCATAATCCTTCAGCTTTCACCCCTGGTGGCTGACTCTGAGTTTTTATTATTAAGACCAATTAGAATTCATCCTACACCTAAGTCAGCAGGAAATGTGCTAAGGCAGTAATAAAGCAATTGCTTTTGACAACTTCAGGAAAAATGACCTTTGAAAAAATATCTGGCACTATTCACTTATTTATAAATACAGTTTTTTAAAGTAACTACTTACAGTGACATAATCTTAATTTTTAAAAAACTTAAGACAACTAATTAAAAAATAAGTATAACCAACTTGAATAGTAAGGTGAGCTACTACAGTGGGAGACACCAGAAACTGACGTTAGTTCTTATAATACAGAACTAAAAATAGTACAGTGGATATCACAGTAGTGGGCCCTGTCTGGAATACTAAACATGCATGTGATAGGTAAACAGCTTGAGGACGGAAAGGTCATAAGCATTATGACATTTTGTAAATATGCTATTATCACAAAAATGAAAGTGTAAAGAAACAAAAAAGGGAATTAAACTATCAACACAGAGGTTTACAAAAGAGTTCATTTTAGTGCAGACTGAGGAAAAACACTCTTGGCTGTCAGAACAATAGAAATAAAGCTGGGTGTGGTGGAGCGCATCTGCTCTCTGGCACCAGAGGTTGAGGCAGTAGGATCACAGAGCCCAGGGACTGTAAAAATTTGTTTCTTGTACTTGTTTAATAAAATGCTGATTGGCTAGTAGCCAGGGAGGAAGTATAGGCAGGACAACCAGGCAGGAAGTAGAGGTGAGGCAATGAGAACAGGAGAATTCTGGGAAGAGAAAAGATTCAGTCTGCAGCCATCATCCAGACGTAGAGGAAGCAAGATGAAATGCCTCGCTGAAAAAGGTACCAAGGCACGTGGCTAACACAAACCAGAATTATGGGCTAATATAAGTTATAAGAGTTAAGAAGCCTGAGCTAATATACCAACCAGTTTACGATTAATGTAGACCTCTGTGTGTTTCTTTGGGAATGAACAGCTGTGGGACGGGGTGGGACAGAAACCTCCGTCAACACCTAAGAGAGAGAAAAGTGGGCTGGGGACATGGGTCACCAATAATATGCCTCCTACACAGCATGAGGATCCCCAGTAACCATGCAAAAATGCCAGGTGTGGTCATTTGCAAGGAAGAAAAAGGAGAGAGACAGATTCCAAAGCTCACTGGCCACACAATACAGGCAGTCAATGCGCACCAACTTCACTGAGAAACCCCGTTTTAAAAAAATAAGGTGGAGGGCAATCAAGAGAGACATGTGAAATCAACTTCGGACCTCCATACATATGTGTACGTACAAATGAACACATACATAAATTTTAACTGAAAAAAGAAAGAGGCAAAGAGTAAGAGAATGACAGAGAGAGAGAAAGCAAATGGGGCGATCATAAGATACTACTATGAACAACAAATTGAGTAATCCAAATAGACAGATTCCTAGATATATACAACCTCAATAGTAAGTCATGAAGATAGAGACAGTCTGGATAGATCCATAACCACTGAAAAAACTGAATCAATAATAAAAATCTCTTAACAAGGATCAGATGACTTCAGTGAAAAACTATGAAATGTTTTCTAAAATTTAATACAAATCCATTGTGAAGAATTTGGAAAATGTTTAATTCATTTTATAAGGCCAATGATAAAAATATCATTTATATCACCCTGATGCCAACTGCAGACAAAGACTATAAGAAAATAGTGATATAGGCTTAAATATCCCTGCAATAAACGTATAAAATGCTTTACCAAAATAAGGGCCAGTAAGATGGCTCAGCAGATAAAGGCACGTGCTGCCTGGTCAGACAATTGAGTTAGGTCTGTAGAACTCACATGCTATGGAACATGCACATATATGGTGATCTGAATAAAAATAGCACCCATAGTCTTATATACTTGAATGCTTGGCCACTGCTAGTGGAACTGCTTGAATGGATTAGAAGGCATGGCCTTGTTGGAGGTCTATCACTGGGAGTGGGCTTTGAGCCTTCAAAAGCCCATGTCAGGCCCAGTCGCTGTCTCTCTGTCTCTGTGCCTTGTCTTTCTCCCTCTCCACCTCCTCATAGCCTTCTCCCTACTCTCCCTCCCTGTCCCTGCTGCCTGTGGATCAAAATGTAAAGCTCTCAGCTCCAGGGTCAAGTCTACTGTGTGTTGTCATGTTCCCCACTATGCTGATAATGGACTAACCCTCTGAAACTGTAAGCAAGCCCCTAATTAAATGTTTTCTTTTATAAGTGTTGCCTTGGTCATGGTGTCTCTTTACAACAATAAAACACTGACCAAGACAGTACCCATACACCAAAATATTTTTTTAAAAAAAGCAAATGTAATAAAAATTATAAAAGAAAAATGTCTTTACCCAAATACTATCAAACCAAACTCAATAGTACATGAAAAAAGCACATACATGTCCCAACTAGGATTTATCTTTGGCCTACAAAAAAAAAAAAAAATTCATGAGGAACAAATCAGGAACTAACATCCTCCAATGGCTTCTGCCTCAGTTCCTGCTCCAAAGTTTTTGCCTTGACTTCCTGCTTTGACTTTCTTCAATGATGGACCTTGATGTAGAACTTTAAGCTTAAATATTCCCTTTCCTTTACAAGTTCCTTTGGGTCATGGTGTTTATCAGAGAGAGAGAAAGAGAAAAAAAAAAACAAAGAACAATAAACCTTAACTAAGACAGAAATTGGTACTAGGCCATGCGGCACAGCTGCGACAGACCTGACTGTGTTTAGCAGGACTGTGGCGGCACTGACTATTTACATATATCATGTTATTTCTTCCTCTTTAATTCATCTGGACTTTTTTCCTTTTTTCTCTTTTACTGTCTTATTTTGATAATTTTAAATGTCATTTCATGTCCTCTGTTGGTTTATTAACTCTAACTGCTTTATTTCATAGATTGCCTTAGGGTTTATGACACCCATCTTATCAGCCTAGTTTTAAGTGATATCATATCACTTTGTATACAGTTGAAAAAAAGCCTTACAATAGTGGATTTCCATTCTCCCAGCCTGGTCTTTATGTTCATATTGCTATTCATTCCACGTGTACATATCATATAGATAGTATTAAAATCATATAGATAGTATTTTTTATTAAAAGTCAACTATCTTTCAAAGTTAAAATATGAACTTTATTTTGGTAAAAAAAAAAAACAGACTTTTTTGATACTCCTTTTTTGGGGGAGTGGGGGTTGAGACAAAGTTTCTTTGTGTAACAGCCCTACCTGTCCTGGAACCCACTTTGTAGACCAAGCTGGCCTTGAACTCACAGAGATCTGCCTGCCTCTGCCTCTGTGACTGCTGAGATTAAAGGCATGTGCCACCATCACCCAACTTGTTACTACTTTCTGTGAAGCATAACAATTATTTTAAGGATATCTATGGCCAGAAAATGAAGAAAGGACCAGAGCTTGATTGAACCAAAGGCCATTGGACCACAGCTTGATAAAGTTTCAATTCTTGAAAGAAAATTACTTATGAGCCAGAAGCAAAGTACTTGCTAGTCATTTTCAAATCCCAAGTGTAGTTTTAACATCATGAGAACAGTGTTGAAGTGAATAATCAGATACAATAGTAGTGATATGTAACAAACATTATTTAAGACCTTTATTTACCTGCAGTGGACCCAAAATCGAGCTGGTTGTATACATAAAAAAGAGCCGAAGGTAACTCAAAACGTTTGCAAATGCAAAAAGCCCTTCTGCTACAAGTGTAGGGTGGAATGCATCCCAGTCCTTCCGGTCAGCAAAGTCATGAAACTGTAGGCAGAAAGAGAAGCCAAAGTCAATCAGGAAAATGAAGAGACATATGAAATGTCTGAAAGAAAACTGTCTTCTTGTAGGAGACTTAAATAATGTTTTAGCCAAATGAAAGCTTTCCACGTATATTAGGAAATAGCACTTTATATGCAGAAATTTACAAGAAATGCTTTGGTTAAAAAAAAACCACAACAGGTCATAAAACTTATCATTAGGGGCTAGAGATATATAGCTCAGTGGTTAAGAGCACTGGCTGCTCTTCCAGAGGTCCTGAATTCAGTTTCCAGCAACCACATGGTGGTTCACAATCATCTATAGTGGAATCTAATGCCCTCTTCTGGCAAAAAGGCACACTGCAGATAAAGCACATAAAATAAATAAAATTTTTTTAAAAAGCAAAATAAAACAAAAACACTTATTATTACACTTTTTATGAGTGAAATATTGGCAGGTTTCCTTAAATTTTATAACACAAATTGTGAGAATGGATGCTGTCAGTTAATCAGATGCCATACTAAACCTAGACATTTGACTCAGGAATTTAAAGCAAACCACAAAAGTTGCCCCTCTTTCAAGTAGAAAAATGCACTGTTATAGCTAAACATGGGGCATCTCCCTGTCCCAGCTGTTCTGTGAGACTGTTAGCCACACATCCTTCCACTCTCAATGTGTCCTGTTTGGATTAGAAAACTACTTCTAGAACTAAAGAACTTAGTCTGAAAAATGAATGTGACCCAACTATCAGGCCATACATTTACATATGACCAATTTTGATTTTTTTTTAGAAACTTCTCACTTCAGTCATTGAATCTCTCTCCGACCAACATGTTAGGAAACAGATGTTAAATAAGCCGGTAAGAATCATTTTGCTCTTTATATAATCTATAAATAGCCAAAATAAAATCATGAAATGTTATATATCTTAGTTCCTTAAATGTGACACCCCATAGCTAACATAGAGTTTATTACATTTTCTGGCTCTGAGAAACCATAAATATTGATGAGTGTAAAATTAGAAGAGGTCTTAAGTATATATGATAAATGAGCTAAATGAAGAAATAAGACACTTGGTAGAAAGCAAATACCTGGCATCTGTATTTAAATCACCTTTTAAAAAACACCATAATCTTAGGTATGTTGCCTAATATCTCTAAGTCATTTTCTTATTTGCAAAATGAGGATAAGGAGAATCTTAAAGAATTCCTGTGAGAATGTAATTAGATACAGTATATCTAACATCGACCACAGAATCAAGCATATGTAGGTAACCATCAATTGTGAGGATTAAATTAAATGCAGTACATCTAACACCAACCATGGGACCCAACATATGGCAGGTAACCATCACTGAAAAGGTAAACCACTCAAACTACCAAAAAAGTAAGCAACTAGATCCACACAGATTACTTTAAAATGAAAACACACCAGACACAGATTTGGGTTTCTAGTAACTCTGAGTTACATAGCTAAGTATATTAGTCCTTTAAATAAATGTCTGTATCTTTGATTGACAGTGAACAGTCACCTTGTTGTGAGCCACCACTTTGAGGGCAAAGGTTGCCAAGTAGAGGGAATTCATGACAAAGCTGAGCTGATTACGTGACTCTTCTAAAAAGTCTTCCAGCCCTTCATACCAGAGTCTCTTAATGTCCGACCAGATCATCCCTAAAACAGTAAAACAGCAGATTCATTAATTCAATAATAAACTAAACAATACTTGAAGAGCAAGTGTTTATAACACTTGGGTTAACTATAGCTGTATTACAAAGGCACTTGAGCTGGGGGGCAGGAGGGAAAAGAGAGCCTTTTAGTGAAAAGCTTTTAAAATTTGAAAGAAAAAAAAATAAAGGAATTCTCTAAAAGACCACACATAAGCAATAAGGTTCTACACAATCCCTTACTTTTCCACCAAAACAACAAGGTCCAGGACAATTAATCCCTGAAGAATGTCATGTAAACATTTATTAAATATGTAAAACTCATAAAATGTCTTTTAGAAAATAAAAACATTTATTATTTCAAACTCTTATCATTTCCTTTTTTGTTTGTTTTTTTTTGTTTTGTTTTGTTTTGTTTTGTTTTTCACGACAGGCTTTCTCCGTCGCTTTTAGAGATTGTGCTGCAACTCACTTTGTAGATCAGGCTGGCCTCGAACTCATGGGCTCTGCCTGCCTCTGCCTTCCCAGTGATGGGATTAAAGGCCATGCACCACGCAGGGCTAACTCTTATCATTTCTTCAGAGCTTATATTTTCATGACAAATAACTGACCTACAGACTGAATCACAAGGGAGCTCTTTAAATCTCAATGCAAATAACATCTTTATAATATAAAGTGAATTATAACTACAAAACTTGGTAAATTCTTAGTAATAAAACCACTGATACAATGAAACAAAATAGTTGTTAAGATATCTGAAAGTGAAATTTAAGTTTTAAGATACCTAAAAAATATATGCCATATACAAAAGAGCATTCACTCATAAAAAATTATACTTTCTGCTTAATAATCATTAATATAGTCCAAGAATAAATGATTTTTAGGGCTAAGGACAAACTGCTTGCCATGCAAGATTGGGGAAGTGAGTTCAGATCGCCAGCACAGACATAAAAAGCCAAGTGCATCAGCATACAGCAGTAACCCTAGTGCTGTGGAGGCCAAGACGGGCAGATCCCTAGAGCCAGCCAGCTTGTCCACATTGGTGAAATCCAGGTTCTGTGAGCAACCTGTCTCAAAAAACAAGGTGGAGAACAACTGAGCAACACATTCATCCAACTGTGACTTTTGGCACCTGTGCATGTACATGCACACATGTACACATAAATACAATTTTTAAAAATAAACTTTTAACCTACAAGCTGCAAAGCTCAGTTATGTGTAAGCATGATGATTTGAGTTAGAGTCCTAGCACTCACACAAAGCCAGGTGTGGCAGCATACACATGTAATACCAACAGCAGAAACAGGAGGATCACAAGGGCCTGCTGACCAGCCAGCATGGTCTAATCACCAAGTCCCACCCCTCAGTGAGAAATAAGGTGGATATTCCTAAGGAATAACACCCAGGGTTTATTGCTAGCCTTTATTTACACAAGTACACTACTGTGTCAGAGGAAATTGAAAAATTCCACCCGGTAGAGAAGCTTCTTAAGCAGGAAGGTAAACAAATCCAAATAGTTTTAAATTTCATGTATTTAAGGAATACAAAGTTATAAAATCAGGAACATTAACCTTCATAAAAGTATGAGATAAACTGGGTGGTGGTGACACACACCTTTAATCTCAGCACTCAGCAGGCAGAGGCAGGCACATCTCTGTGAGTTCGAGGCCAGCCTGGTCTACAAGAGCTAGTTCCAGGACAGGTTCAGAGAAACCCTGTCTTGAAAAAGAAAAAGTATTAGATAAATGATCATGAAATAAATAAATAAATGTTTATTTTACCTGTGACAAAAGACAAAATTGCAAATTGAACTCCATGTTCATAATGTCACCAAGCAAGGAATATTAAATAACAAGGCAAATCTTTCAAAGTCACTTGACACTTACCAATAATCCACAGTATGAGAAGGTAGTCTATTCTCTCAAGGGCTGGCCCCATTGTATTTTTCTTGTCTTCATTGTAGACTAGTGAGTACAGATTTAGTAACAGCAAGAATGTGAAATATGATGCTCCATGAATAATAAATTTCATAAAAGGTGTGTGAATGATTCTGCCAAATTGAGATTTGGGAGCTATCAAATAACATAGAGACAAAACTGGCCAGAAGATGCCAACTGTCAAAACAGTCATTATCTTCTTACAGGTGGGCTTACGGCGGTAACCTGACATCTGTCCAAACCAAACGGTGTTCAGGAACTGCTGGCAATTTGACTGAGAGACAAACTGAAAAAGACATACAGAAACATAAAAAACAAAAAAGGGAAATAAAACCTTTAAATAGTAAGAAGATATTCAATCTTAACATTAGATGAAAATACCTTATATACTGTAATATGTCCTTTTCCTTTTGTAACTAAGAGTATAGAGGCTCAGAGCATAGACTATGGAGTCTGATTACACAGTTCGAATTCAAACTCTAGCACAGACTAGATAACTATAAATAAGTTTTCAACCTCTCTAAGCTTCCCAGTCCTCATCTCTAATATCTGGATAGCAATAGTAGCTCCTCATAAACTAGTGAAGATTAAGCATCAAATTCTTAGTATACCACCTTATTCACAGCGCAATGCCATTTTAGGGATCAAAAATATTAGCAACCTACTGCATTGAGCTGATCACATTTAAAGACTATCAAGAGCCTTTAAAAACCAGTACAAAGACAAACTGTATATGTTAATATGCAGTCCATAGAGACAGCACTAACTAATCTTTGAGAAAGTGTTGGCTTTAGCTTCTGGGTTGTGAGAAACTCAGATGGCATGACAAAAAGTGGTCCATGTATTAGATCTCTGCACACTTCATGAAAGTCCTGGGAGAAACTTAAACTACGTCAGAGACACTGACTGTAGTGCTGAGGACTGAAGCTAGGCCTTGCACGTGGTAGACAAACTCTACCACTCAGCTGCAGCTGCGTCCTCAGACCAGGCTGGCTCTTGGCTTGTGATCTTCCTGCCTCAGCTGGGATTACAGGCCTGAGCCATTAAAAATACTCTCTTAAAAAATTATTTTTCAGCTTTATTTATGTGCATGTATGTTTTCCCTACACATATGTATGTACACCATTATATGCATGGTATTCACAGAGGTAAGAACAATGCATCAGATGTTTGTGAACCACCATGTGGGTTTTGGGAATTGAACCAGGTGTCCTCAGCAACAAGTGCTCTAAATCACTGAGCCACTACTCCAGCTCCTTAAAAATAAGATACTCTTAAACTTGGCTAATGGTGAATTTCACGTGAGAAGAAAATCTCAAATAAGAGCAAAATGCTAGTTCAAGTACAGAAGTTAATTTGTACAAGTTACACAGAGTTTCTTAGCTTACAAATTTAAATGGCAATATTTTCTAATATAATGTAATCAGATTTCATATTACTAAAGTATAATCATATTATTCAAGTAATGTAAAATAGCATTTTGTGAATATTATATTTTTAAAAGATTTTGGTGGCACACTCCTTTAATTCTAGCACTCAGGAGACAGAGGCAGGTGAATCTCTGAATTTCAAGGTCAGCTTGGTCTACAGAGCAAGTTCCAGGACAGTCAGGGATATACAGAGAAACCCTGTCTTGAAAAGCAAAAACAAAAAAAAAGATTTATCTTGATAGTTCAGGAATCTAATTCACAGAATTTTAGCCTGCAATAATAAAACAACTGCACAGCATCCTATCATGCTTATCAAGAATTTTTCTAATATAACTATACTCATTTTAGCAATGATTTATGTCATTCTTTAATTTTTTATGTGTATAAACACTCTGCTTGCACGTATGCCTATGTACCAGTGTGTGCTTGGTGCCCACAGAGACCAGAAGAGAGCACTGGACACCCTGAACCTGGAGTTAGAGACAGTTGTGAGCAGCCATTTGGGTGCTGGAAGATGAACCTCGGTCCGTTAGGCTATGTTCCTAACCACTCAGCCGTCCCTGCAGTCCCTTACTTCATCCCCCATTTTTCTGTTGGATTCCAGTGAGATGCCTGGGAATGAAAGTCTTTCTTCCCAAACCACTTTTAGCAGCAGCCAGAACTTAGGGGATGTCACCTTTCCGTAAATATTAAAGAAAATTCAACCCTAACACTACACTTGACATCCCTTAATTAGAAATTATATTAAGTAATATCTAGAATAACAAGATTTCAACTACAAATGTGCTAAGTCTACAGTGGTTTGAGGCATGGAACAAAGATTCTCTAATATTCCTGTCATCAAGAGGTGGAGAGAGGAGGAAATCACTGCTACCATCTGTCCTTTAATTCAGTAACCTGTGATTACTATAGCCAGCAGAAGAGACTACATTCTAGCAGAAGGGACATAATATGACCTCTGAAAGGCTTCTTTCACCTTCTTCATATAAATACTGACTTTTAGAGGCTGAAGAGATGGCTTAGAGGTTAAGAGCAGTGGCTGTTTTTGCAAAGGTCCTGAGTTCAATTCCCAGAAATTACATGGTGGCTCATAACCATCTGTAATAAGATCTGGTGCCCCCTTCTGACCTGCAGGCAGACATGCAGACAGAACACTGTATACATAATAAATAAATCTTTTTAAAAAAAAAAGAAAGGAAGGAAAAGAAAAACAAAACAAAAATCTTTACCAAAAAACAAAACAAAACAAAACAAACAAACAATTAAAAAAAAAACCCTGACTTTTAGAGTTAGGAGTTGCTCTGTAAAAAGGTCCTCCACCCCAAAGCCACCAAGCTGTAAAAAGCTCAAGAAACACAGACACACAAAAACACACCAGTCAGCCCTTAGCTGCTTCTTGGCCCATGGCCTCACTGCCTGCTGTAATTACCATGCTCTTCCCAGGTTTCAGTTTTGAGTTCTCAGGAGCTCCACTTTCTGAGCACCCATCTGAGACCATGCTATTCATGGTCCCGGCTAATGGTCAGACCCCAGAGCTCCGAGGGACCACCCTACAAACAGTATCTACTTCTATTTTCAGATGCTAGCATGGCCCTTCCTTCAAGTTGTAAATATATTGTTGAGTTATGAATGTGTTCTAGATTGTTACAACTTTTTTTATTTTGGGAACCAAACAATAAACAAAATAAAGTAGATATATCGCAGAAACCTTCATACCTCCTTTTGGTTATATTTGATAGCAAGTTTTAGACGACTTAAATTCATTCTTTCTTCTAGTAGTCCCCGTTTGTCAAGAGGCTCATCACTAGATGTATGGTTTAGTATAACTTCCAGTTCACGTGAATTCCGGGCTTGTGCAAGCAAATCTTTAGCAAACATTTTGCACTGACGGGCTAGCTCTTCATAATCATTCCTATAAAATGCATAGTCTGCTATTAGAAATGTCATTCCTACTGCCCAATGAGATTACACCACTAGAAATTACTTTACTCAATAATCTTTCAATTCTGACAGGGCCACAGAAGATCTGCTCGTTTCCTGCGACAGTCACAGGAGTCTCCACAGCTGTGGAGAAATAAGCTTCCTGTGCCCACACTGACGATTTCAGATGAACACAGTATACTTACTATATTGATACCCTGAGAAATGCTTATAAAACTTGGTCAATTTTTCACCTAACTCACTTCTCTCGTTCTCTGTAAGATGGCTAAAATTTCCCTTGACATTTATTCATATAAACAATATTTTTGATATTATTAGATGATATTTACCTACAGTAACTTCAATAATCCACAGTGTACACACTACTTCTAACACTGATTAAGTATTGTGACTCATTTAAAGTGTTCACTTGAGTGAAATTCACAATGGCATATCCCAAGGAACTCTCTTCAGAAGTGCTAGTTTCCAAACCTTACCGCTGTCTTTGACTTACTTATAAAAACTGTACTTAATATAATTTATGAGAAATGAAGATGTTTTAGTACATAATTATTTATTAAGTATAAATTACATTAAATTTATAACTCAGCTAAACAAAAATAAGTATATTACAAACAACTATGAGTCATGAATCAGAGGCTGGATTTTAGAAAATAATTTTATTTAGCTTTTCCCCTCATGTAAAAAGCAAGGTGAACAGGAAGGCTGCTTAGTCTTTGCACATGGCAAAAATTCCTGTGAACTGGCTATATGTAGCTAGACTTAAAATTCGCAACTTTTCCTTAAAGGCAACATTTTTCTCATTCTTTGCATTACTCCATAACCTGTGAATAATTAGTTGTTCAACAATTAGTTCTTCAGCAAATGAAATATTTATTATATTACATGCCTTTTGGTTTAGGAATATAAATGCAGATGGAAACATGCATCAAAAAAGGTGTTATTGCAAAGGCATCTCATTTTTAAATAAATATTTGATAGACTTCTAGAGCAAAATATATAATTTATTAAACTGTTTAATCTCTAATAGATTACAGGACAATTAAGTGGCTGTATAGTGATGAGCAAAGATATTGTTCCTCAAATATGACTTCATGAGGATTTTGTCCCATTTTGTTTTGCTTTTGTTTTTAAAGACAAGGTCTCACTTTGTAGCCCTGGCTGCCTGGAATTACTGGGTAGACAAGGCTGGCCTGGGAACTCACAAAAGTGAGCTCTGCCTCCCAAGAGCTGGGATTAAAGGTGTGTGCCGCCACGCCCTATCCTCGTTTTATGAGTTCACCAAAGTAAATAGATGTCATATCGAGGTTTTTGTTTTTAATGCAATGTACTTAAAGAATAGTAGTTCTAAACCTGAAAACTTAAATGTAGTCTTTCATAAGTCTCTGGACTCAGAACTTTCAGGAACACACTATGAATGATTGTATTAAGGCTAAAAAAAAATCCTGTGCTTTCCAATCCTGCTCCGCAAGTGTGAACGAACTTTGTTGACTTTCAAGATGGGGGCCACATAGGCAACTGTGACAGGAAAGTGGGTTCGTGTACAGTTCCTGTTGGCACTTTGAAAATGGGAGCTGGTAAGAGGGTACTAGAAATACTCACCATAGGAGGACTGCAAGGTTTGCCTGGGGACTGTGTGGTTACAGAAGGGCAAAGCACAGAGGAGGAGTCAACTAATCAGCACCAACATGTTACTTTGACAGAGAAAGAAAATTCAAAATGGCAACAACATTACTCATCTTAGATTAACTGTAAATAAATGCAAATTATCATGCATCCTATAAACAGATTGAAGCAGAAGATTCTACAACAAAAGACATAACGACATCCATTCTTCCCCACCTGAATTCCACCTCCACAAGGCTGAGTTCTTTTAAGTCAGCACTAAGTTCAAATGCTCTCAGGATTGGATCCTCCTCTGTTAACATTATTAGAGCTGGGCTGGCTAGACATCTATAGATATCAAGACGAAACCTGTGATAAAATTAGATTACACAACATAAAAATTTCCCTTGTTAGTTTTAATATGCAATGTTTATAAACTTATAAAGTACAAAATATTAAAATATGTTTATTTCAAGATAATTTCCCTAACACCTAAAACTTAAATATTTTGAAAAACAAATACTGGAAAATGTTGTCCACTGCTCTAAGTTACCAACTCTTTTCAAATATTCAAAATTTTGGCTGCCTTGATATAGCTGTAATTTCAGCTCTCAGGCAGCTGAGATAGGATTGGGAGCTTGAAGATTACAGAGAGTCTGGATTATGTATATTATTGTGTCTTCTTTGAATTTTTTGACTGTGAAGGAGCTAAGTACAGAGAGACATTTCATTGTATGGACTGCAAAGATAAACCAACATAAAGGTATCTTGATTTCAGAATTTGGGTCTAAGGATATGTTGCTTTGGAAAAGAGGTTCTTCTTTTGTTTCCACAGAGGATGAGAACCTGTGGAATCCTTCCAGACTAATATGGTTTGATGGACCAAGACCTCTTAAAAAGTCACTGTGAATACCCACTCAAAAAATTACTTTGCCCAATAAAAAGCAGGAAGCAGTTTGAAGAGAACATGCCCAAATTTCCAAATATTGTTTGTATATGTTTGTTTACATTTAAAGGGAGATATGATATAATAGAGATTTGCATTGGTATGAATCTTGGTCAACTGATACAAATTTAAGGTCAATTTTGCTATATATATATTTCTGCTCTTGATTAAGGTATTGTGTTTGTGTAGCTCATTTAAAATGTAATGAATAATTAATAAATATAGGTTAATAGAGAGTCATTTATAATAGTCAAGCTTGTAGTCATATTAGTTAGGTTTTCTAGATATATAGAGATTTATTTTAGTTAGATAACTTGAAACCTTTCAAAGACTACAGAATATGGCATTTAAAATTTCTTAAGAACTTAGACTTTTCATGACAATGAGACTCATCTGCTCCTGGCAGCACCAATCTACCATAGGATGATGGACATTGAAGAAACTCGTTATGGAGTTTGCTAACCATTTTGGCAAGAAACTGCTCTGGCCTGGACTGCTTTATGATATGCTATATGTACTGGACATGCAGAATCCACAGAAAAATAACTGCTGAAGTGGCCTAAAGAAGGTAACACAGTCCTTTGGGGTTCCTGCTTCATGAAAGAGTCTTCCAGACATTCTGTAGGACACAGACAAAAGTGACTGACAAACTGCCAATATAGGTGGAATTGTCTTTGAAATTTCCTGCTTCATGGGAAAGTCTGCTAGATACTATGGACCTGTGGGCTGAAGATTGGATGCCCCAATGATATAGGAGAACTTTGGGTGACTGTCCAAGCAGGGAGATGTCTCTTTCAATTCTAGAGGTTTGGAAGTTGCTTTACAATGCACTTCCTGTTTACTTAGATAATATTATATCCTTCTGGAGTCTTTGATGGAGTTGAAGAATTTATTGTTATAGTCTTCCTTAGTTATAATAAAAGATAAAGTAGATATAAATATTATAACCGTAATTTTTACTTGATACCTATTTTGTAATATGTAATCTTACTAGGTTAAAGGTAAAAAAAACTTTCTTTTTGTTTAAACAGAAAAGGAGAAACGGTGTAGGAAGTCTTTGTGTCTATGTGTTGCTTTTATTGGTTAATGAATAAAGAAACTGATTTGGCCTATAGCAGGGCAAAACTTAGCTAGGCGGGGCAAACTAAACTGAATGCTTGGAGAGAAGCCATGTAACCCCACCAGAGACAGATGCCGAAACTTTACCTGGTAAGCCACAGCCTCGAGGTGATACACAGATTAATGAAGACGGGTTAAATAATATGAAGAGTTACTAGAGCTATAGTAAAAGGAGCGGCAGGCTGCGTCCCGCCACCCAGCTCCTGGCCGCCCGGCTAGCTTAACCCCCTAAATAATCATAAGGAGATCCACATTAATTAAATTGCTGCCTGGCCCATTAGCTCTAGCCTCTTATTGGCTAACTCTCACATCTTGATTCACCCCATTTCTAATAATCTGTAAGTCACCGCAAGGCCGTGGCTTACCAGGAAATATTCAGCATGTCTAACCTGGCAGCTTCATGGCGGGTAGCTCCCTCTCCCTGCCTGCTTCCTCCCAGCATTCTGTTCTATCTACTCCACCCACATAAATTCTGTCCTATCAAAAGGCCAAGGCAGTCTCTTGATTCAACCAATGAAAGCAACATATAGTCAGAATGACCTCCTACACCATAGAGCTAATGGGCCGAGCAGTGATTTCATTAATACAGTTTCTGTGTGGTTATTTTGGGGCTGAGCAGCTGGAAACAAACAAGCGGTCTCCTTACAACAGAGGATTGCTTGAACTCAAGGTTAGTTTGGGTAACATAGCAAGATACCACCTAAAAAGACAAAACAAACAGCATCCAATTGTCTGCATCAACCTTTCAAGTAGCTCAGATTATGGGCATGTATCACCATATCTGTATCTTAAGTATTTCTGAAGAAGCAACTGCCTGCACTATAATTAATAAATATGTATAGACAACTTATCTCTATGCTTTCATCAATATGCCTACATTGATTAATTTTATCATTACTTTTAGATGACATTCAAGCACAAGTGGGTTTCAGTGAAGCTGCACAACACAATACAGGCAGAAACACTCCAAATTTGCTGTTCAATTTTGAACTTTTAGCCATTTCACATTTGCAAGCCTTTTACTGTTGACAAGTTTTATGCCCTTCCCATTGAGTTTAAGAAGTTATGGCTGAGCTCTGTCTCAATCCTTCCTATTCCCTGTTCAATAAAGAGCTATAATTTTGTCAGGTTCATGCTAGTAAACCTGTAACTTTGGTCTAGAAGGACCAAATAGTGGACTGGACAAAATGACCAATGGAAAACTAGGTTATCAAGACTGAGCCTGCAAGTCAAGATGAGGCCAGTAGAGGACCAACCAGAAATGTCAAGAGATACTCTGGACTTACATAAATCCCTAGCTGACTAGACAATTACACATATGTGGGTAACTCATAAGTTTAGAAAAAGAAAAGACCTAAAGAAGTATTAAGAAGTTACTTAATGCAGGATCATGTGCAGGATCCATAAGCAACCAAATGATTCCATTTAGATAAGATTTGAAGAAACAGTGCCAACATGGATATAAAAATTAGACTGTTGTTTTTATGTACTGAGAGAACTGCTAAAACAAAGTTTTGGTTTGACATGGTTAAACTCTAAAGTGATCAATGATAAACTTTATAAATATACTATCTTAGGTTTCTATTGCTGTGAAGAGACCCATGACCATAACAATCTTATGAAGAAAAGTGTTTAAAGGGGTTGCTTACATTTTTATAGGTTTAGTCCATTATCGTCATAGTATAACATGGTGACGTGCAGGCAGACATGGTGCTGGAGAAGTAGCCGAGAGTCCTACATCTTGACTCACAGGCAACTGGAACTAGGCTCAGTCACTGGGTGGTATCTTGAGCATATATGAGACCACAAAGCCTGCCTCCACAGTGACACATTTCCTCCAACAAGACCATACCTATTACAACAAGGCTACACCTCCTAATAGTGCCACTCCTTTTGGGGGCCATTTTCTTTCAAAGCATTAATATCACTTCCTGCCCCCCCAAATGCTTGTAGCCATATCACAGTGCAAAAATGCATTCAGTCCAACTTCAAAAATCCCCATGAGCTATAAGTCTCAGACTTATTTAAAAGTCTAAAGTTCAAAGTCTCTTCTGAAATTCATATAATCTCTTAACTGTAATCCCCTGTAAAATAAAATTCAAAAAGCAGATAACGTACTACCAACACATAATGGCACAGGATATATATTACCATTCCAAACATAAGGAAGGGAACATAGAGAGGAAATACTGGACCAAAACAAGACCAAAAACTAACGAGGCAAACTCCAAACTCTGCATCTCCATGTCTGATGTTAAAACACTTTCCAGATCTCCAACTCCTTTCAGCTTTGTTGACTGCAACACACTTTCTCTTGCAGCTAGAACATAGCCCCTCGTTCAATTACAGTGTCACCAGCTTTCTGTTTTCCATGGTTTCCTTCACTGTCTAAGCTTGGCTATTCTGGAACTTGCTCTGTAGACCAGGCTGGCCTCAAACTCAAAAGATCCACCAGCCTCTGCCTTCCAAGTGAGGTATTAAAGGATTAAAGGCGTGAGCCACCAATTGGCTCTAAGCTTTTCTTTCTTTCTTTCTTCCTTTCTTTCTTTCTTTCTGTCTGTCTGTCTGTCTGTCTGTCTGTCTGTCTTTTTCTTTCTTTCCTTTCTACCTTTTCTTCCTTTTCTTTCCTCCTTCCTCCCTTCCATTCTTTTTTTATTCATTTTTTTTTTGTATGAGTGCTCTGTCTGCCAATGCAGCTTTATGCCAGAAGAGTGCATCATATCCCACATGACTGTAAGCCACCATGTGGTTGCTGGTTACTGAACTCAGGCCCTCTGGAAGAACAGCCAGTGCTCTTAACCGCTGCACCATCTCTCCAGCACCAGCTTTTCTTTAGTTCCTTTTCACAAGTTGGGAACTTAGCTGGGTGGGATCTTGTCCTGAGGTTACCACTCCCTTTAGTCCATTTCTTTTTCTTTTTTTCTTTATTTTTTTAATTTTTTAATTTATTTATTTCTTTATTAATTAATTAAAGATTTCTGTCTCTTCCCCACTGCCACCTCCCCTTTCTCTCCCCCTCCCCCAATCAAGTCCCCCTCCCTCGTCAGCCCAAAGAGCTATCAGGGTTCCCTGCCCTGTGGGAAGTCCAAGGACCACCCACCTCCATCCAGTAAGTAAGCTAGTAAGGTGAGCATCCAAACAGCCTAGGCTCCCACAAAACCAATAGGTGCAGTAGGATCAAAAACCCATTGCCATTGTTCTTGGGGTCTCAGTAGTCCTCATTGTCCCCTATGTTCAGCGAGACCGGTTTTAACCCAGGCTTTTTCAGACCCAGGCCAGCTGGCCTTGGTGAGTTCCCGATAGG